TGAACTTTTGTCAACTTTCTCAAAGTTCATGATAAAAAATGGTCAGACAAATTATCCTCTTCAAGCAAACTAGATAAGTGTGTATGGAAATTTATTGCATGTTTAGAAATTCACTCTAATTCCAAAGTATAATGTCCAAAATTTCTATTCAGCACGAAATAAGTATTTATCTATATAAATATGAAAAAAAATTTAATTTTTTTTCTTTAAAACCATATTTAATAAAATCAATGCACGTTTCGACTTAATTTAAGTCATTTTCAGTTGAAATAATATTTAAAATTTATACTATATTATAAAAGAACGTTATAAAGGTACAAAATAAAGTCTCATAAAAGACAATAAAAACAATATAAAATAAAATTATAAAACTATTAACAATTTACTCATGACCCGGCAAAGGAAACATAATATAATAAAAGCAATAAAAGATTATACAAAATGCTAAATATAGTTAAAAAAAGAAGAAAAGAGAGAGAGTGAATTTAACACGATTAATCTGTTTGTTTATGTTTGGTTTTTGTTATTTTATATAAATACTTGCCTTTAATTTGAGTTCAAATTTATTGGAAGAAGAATCTAATATAGAAAAACATTCATCGCTATATGTTACGTAGCAATTTTCGTCAGCATGAAGATGTTTAAATAAATGCGAATTTTTGTCTCTCCGATAGTGATCAGTCTTTTTTGTCTTTAGATGGCGAGTTGTCTTGCCAATATCTTCTTGATATTGGCGAGGCAATCTTCTCAATAAATTCTTCACATCTTGCACAAACAAGTTTATAAACAACGAATGATTTTAATTCTTTAGAAGAAAATACGATGGAAATTTGAAATGAAATGAAAACTAACTTTATGGAGACTAATTTAATAATATGACTTATTCTCTTTTTAGCCAAGTCCATTTAATTTTCCAATGTAAGGAAGTTTGAAATATTTTATTAATAGTTGATCTTTTGATTTAACTTGATTAGTATTAGAGATTTTTTCCATATAAGAGTTGTGAACTTTACTCAGTAAACAAAATAGATACATGCTTCTCTTTTGAATTTTGAAAAGCTTGTTTGTATTAGGTTGAAGAGCATGTTTAGTGTTATTAATTTTAAACGCTCTGTCAATTAAGCATTTAATAAGACTTACTTTGCATACTAGATAAGTATGTGAAAAAACGCTTTTCTATTTCATCAATAGTATTCATAGCTCAATCTTGTTCACAATAAAAAAAGAAGAAAAATCCAAAATTTCCTTTTATTTGCATTTGCGACTAGCTAACGACAACTCTTAATGATTAAAACAACAACTGGGCCAAGAGGATCGCATGAGAGATAAGCTAGCGACTAACTAGCTATATAAGCTAGCGACTAGCTAGTTATATAAGCTAGCGATCAGCTAGTTATATAAAGTAGCGACTAGCTAACGACAACTCGTAACAATAAAGACAGCGATTTGGTCACGAGTATCTCGCCAAGCTAGCACTAACACGTGTTTTTAGAATCTAAAATGTTAACACCTTTAGACGTATAAATTCAGATAACTAGAAGACATCTAATTGTATTAATCTTTGAGACGACAAATAATAGCAAGCCGTCTAAAAGATGACTATTAATAGATGTCTTATATTTATCTGAATTTAGACATCTAAAAGTATTAGATGCGAAAAAAAAAGTCTAAAAGACGTGTTTGTACCGAGCCATATCAGCTAGCGATTATCTAGCAGTATAAGGTAACGATAACATGTAAAAATAAAGACAGCAATTTGGCTACGCGGATTGCTAGCTACTAACTAGCAATCAATCATAACCATCAAGGCAACTATTTAGCTAGAAGAATACGAAAGACAGCTGATAGGGAACCAAGGGTGGATCCATAGGGAGGGGGAGGGAAGAGGGTTAACAGGAATAATCACCCTCCCCCTTCCCTCCTTAGTTATTTTGGAAAGAACTTTTTTCTAATTTATATATTAAACTCAGCAATCAATCATAACAAAATTGTTAAAAAACGGGAGGGAGGCTGTGATAAAAAGTTTTAATAAGTTTGTTTGGTGCAAAAAAAAATCGGACTGCTGTAATATCGCTATAACGTAATTTTATAGTTACATAGATTAAGACAGTGAAAACTTCAAATAAAGTTAAAAAACCTGAATGTCGATCTATTTCCGCCGCCCCTTCCCCCCCCCCCCCCCCTACTTTAATAGATCAACAAAATCAAAAAAAATTCTTTTCCAAACAACGCAATATTTATTATAAAAACAGATGTAGGAAATCCTTAACACCTTTACGCGGCGATTTTCATTTAACTTAATGAGCTTTGATTTTAAGGCTCTGCGAGGGAATACTTTCGATCTTTTCTGTTTTGTTTACCAAAATGGTTTGGATGCATCAAAATTAAAGATGCACCTTCCCCTTCCCTTACCGGATCCGCCCCTGCAGGGAACTACATTTTAATAAGCATTTAAATAAAATTACTTTTAACAAAAATGTAAAAACTGTTTTAATAAAAAGATTGAATTTTCTGTCTGATTTCAATAGGTTATAAAATGGATTATTTTTAGAAATAAAGCTAAATAATTTTGCTTACATTAATTTTGTAAACACTTTTTAAAAAAATGTAAAAATAAATTTTTTTGCATTTTTTAAAAATTTCTTTAAATTATCTTTCTCTTTCCGAAAATAAGATTTTTATCATTTGAGTTACATATTTTACTTTCAAGTTTGTCAAACTCTCCAACCAAATTTGCTGGGAAATAATGTAAATAATTACTTTTTATGGTTGTATTTCAGTGTATATTAAAATTTAATCGAAATATGAAAATTTTTGAATTAAGAAGATTCCAGTTAGAGAGGTTGTACTATAATAACAATATTACAGCAATATATATATATATATATATATATATATATATATATATATATATATATATATATATATATATATATATATATATATTTATATGTATGTTTATATACAGGGCTGTCCCTTGGGCTGGCAGAGACCGGGGTAAACATAATTGGGACAGCCCTGTATAAATATATAGAAATATATATGTTTATATATATATATATATATATATATATATATATATATATATATATATATATATATATATAATATATATATATATATATATATATATATATATATATATATATATATATATATATATATATATATATATATATATATATATATAATATATATATGTTGAAAATGTAACAATCAACAAGTCAAGAGAGACTGTTAAAAATGTAACAATCAACAAGTTAAGAGAGAGAAATGAAAGAAAAATATTATTGTCTATGGAGAACCTGATGCAAAAAATATCTATATATTTTTTTTCATGAAATTTTCTTAGAATAGAGCAGGAAATGAACTTGCAGCTAAAAGTATTTTGTCTTTCATTAATAAAGCTGAAGTGAAGCCAGTATATATGAGAAGGTTGCATTTTAAAAATTTAACAAAACCTGGTACTATCCTTGTTGAACTTGGTGAAACGAGTCTATGAAGTTCAATATATTTAGCAGCTAAAAGCTTGAGAAATAAGGAGATTCATTAATCACTATATATAAATCCAGATTTAACTGAAGTAAAAAGGCCATTGCATGGTCAACTTAAAAAAGAAAGAAATCAATTCAGAACTGAATTCTTACTGTCTTTCAATATAGAAATTGTTGAATTCAAATCCAAATATGAAAAAAGTAGCATATAATCTAGATAAAGAGTTCCATCAAAACTTTTAAGACAACATTTTTTTTGAAATGCATGTACATAAATGCAATTCTTTTTTTTTATTCTTCGGAAAATATATTTTTTGAATTTATGGTTGTTGTCAATACAAACCATCCATATTGTTATTATAATTAGAGTTACTAAAACTTGGTATAAAAGTGTCTCAATAGTTAGTATTCAGAGTTATAAAATTTATAGAAGAGAATGTGATAGGCGAAGATATATGTATCAATATATTAGTCTAATGAAAATATATCTTCTTTTAATAACAATTTAAATATTAAACATATTTTCAGTAATACATTACAGACACTTTTATATTAACTTTCTAAATTTTAAATAAAATGGCTGTTAAATATGTTTTTTATGATATGTTTTTTGATAGTATGATGGATTTGATTTTACAACAGATTCCAGAAATGTATGTGCAATAGGCACACAGTTTGTGCTTAGTAATACCACTAAAGTAAATTTTGTAATATTTTTAAATTACTTTATTTAAAACAAAATAAAACTTCTACCTGTGAACTGTTACAAACTTGTTTACAAAAAAGACAACTTATGATAAAATTTCTCAATTTATTTTAAATGTAGACTGGGTACAACTGTAATAACAAAGTATGTAGCAGATAAAAAGAAGAAAAGAAAAAGGAGAGAAGTTTAACGATTTGAAAAGAAGAGTTAAAATAGTCCTAGGAGAATTTTTAAAGCATAATATTTTAGAAGGAAATAGAATTATAAATACATGCATTAAAGTAAAATAAAAAGAATTTAAAAAAATGTTATATCAAATAACTAAGCAAGGGCAATGGCATAGAAAATAGTTTGTTTTTATTTATTACATGTTATATGGTTTTGCCACAAACTTTAGAACCATATAATCTTTACATATATTATAATAACATTACATATAACCATTACATAATATATTTGATTGAGAATAAACAAATATATATATATATATATATATATATATATATATATATATATATACATATATATATATATATATATATATATATATATATATATATATATATATATATATATATATATATATATATATATATATATATATATATATATATATATAAATATATATATATATATATATATATATTTTTTTTTTTTAGGTTTTTAGATTTTCGTATTTTTATTTTTAGATTTTGAGTTTTATATTTTCATTTCTATTTGATGGGTTTTATATTTTTATTTTTGAGTTTTATACTTTTATTTTTATTAAAAAATTTAGTTTATAGAGAATAACTAAAAGAGGGCAAATGTATAAATATTAGTTCATCGATTCACAAAGCAACTAAACTTTTTTCATTAATGAGTAGTTTCAAATATAAAGATTAACTTGTTGTCTTAGACTTGAACTCTAACTGAGAGAAGAAAAAGGGGAGATTTAGTAGCATTATACAAACTTATGCACGGTATTGACAAGATAAATAGTGGTAAATATTTTCCACTTGTTAAAGTCTGTCTAAGAAAGCATTGCTTTAAATACCACAATATATATATATATATATATATATATATATATATATATATATATATATATATATATATATATATATTTATATATATATATATATATATATATATATATATATATATACATATATATATATATATATATATATATATATATATATATATATATATATACATATATATATATATATATATATATACATATATATATATATATAGATATATATATATATATATATATATATATATATATATATATATATATATATATATATGTATATATATATATATATATATATATATATATATATGTATATATATATATATATATATATATATATATATATATATATATATATATATGTATATATATATATATATATATATATGTATATATATATATATATATATATATATATATATATATATATATATATATATATATATATATATATATATATATATATATATATATATATATATATATATATATATATATATATATATGTATATATATATATATATATATATATATATATATATATATATATATATTGAATTTTTTGATATTTTTTGATTTGAAATAAATATATATATAAATTTTTTGAATAGTTTTTTTTAGAAATGTTATAACTAAAAGTGTTTCTCTAAAATGAGTACTGAAACACTTTCATGCCAACAATATCTGCCTTCTCTTCCTCTTCCATCATTGAAAGATACATGTGAACGTTATTTAAAATCAGGTAAGCTTTATAAACTATGCAATAAAATGCAGATTTATTATTAGTTATTATAATTGTTTTTATTTTTATTTAATAATTGTTTTTACAATGTTTAAACAAAAATTACAGTACAAATTTGAAAATTTCACATACCCACATCCAAAATTTACTATACTTTGTTTCCATATTTCAAATAAGAAATTTAATTAGACAAATTGAACAGAAGGCACTTAGATCAAAATTCATTCAGAAAATACATATGAGTGTTTTAAAAATAAATATTGTTATTAAATGTTTTTAAATTTACTAGAAACAGGGTTGCATTGCATTTACTCCATGCACAACACAAAATGCATTATGCAATAAGTGTATTTTTTAAAATCATAACATTGTTACGTAACATAACATACATTAATAAAGTGTTGCACGATTTAAATTTATACTTAAGTTAGTTAACAATGAAATCTCCTATTATGACCTCTAATCAATGCTATTTAATTACCAGATAGATATTCTCAGGTTAAATTATCTTGTGGATTTACTATTTTAAAAATAAAATTAGGTCATTTAGATTCCTTTTTGTTTGAGAATTGCTAATACATTAGTCATGCTTCAAAGTGTTTTCCTAAAAACATTTTGATTGAATCATTTTATATTATTCATGTTTTTTTGTCTTGTTCTAAGTTCTGAGAATTCCACACTAAAGTTGCATAGTCCAGATATGGTCTTACAAGAAAGGTTTTTTACAGTTTTTTACTGTTTTAAACCATTTGAAATTGTAATTCCTAAATCTTTTTAAAGTTTTTTGAGCACTATTTTTTATAACATTATTCTTTTTAACACTTGATCATATATTGAGCAGATATAATTGATATTTTTGCCTCCAATATGTATTATTACATTTTTTATATTCAATTTTAATGGCTATAATTTTGACTACGCCATAAATTTATTGAAATCTATTTGTTTCTTTTTCAATCAGAAACTGATCTGTTTATGCTACCTTGCTTTACACATACAGACACACACACATATAAGCACACACAGATATATATATATATATATATATATATATATATATATATATATATATATATATATATATATATATATATATATATATATGTATATATATATATATATATATATATATATAATATATATATATATATATATTTATATATATATATATATAACTGCAAATTTAAAATTTTGATTGTATAAAAACGCCTATAGACAAATATTTAATGACTTAATTTGTCACTAGTTGCAATATGCTTTTATAAGTTATTGAACAATTCTATATTTTTTTGCTTTATGTTTTTTTTATTTTAATTTTTTTTTTAGTTTTTAATAAAAATAAAATTTGTTGTTGAGTTTTTGGCTATGCTTTAGAGAATTTCATTAAGCTAAACACTAATCCTAACCCTTCTAATTAGTTTTTGGTGGTTGCTCTTTCCCTTAAAATATCATGGAATTTTTAAACAAATTTTTTTTTAGCAAATGTTTAGTCAAATTTTTTGTTATCTATAAAGCAGTAGTGTATTGAAAATAT